ATCATTTTAAATCAGCAGACATCACTTGCAGAGACTGACCTTGAGTTATTTAAGCTGCTGTTGCAACTGATCAAAATGTTACACCTTTAGATTATCGTTTTATCCTGACAACATTGCAATATAAAAACACCGACAAATCTTACATTTAGTAAGCAGTTAATTGACTTGATTCACTTTTTCAGCACTAGTTGGCATTTGTATTTTAGATATGTAATTGCTGATCACGGAGACAAATGGCAAACAAAGGGAGAACGGAGGTATAACACAACAAAGAACCCTAGCTACTATGTAACCAAGCAACCATTAGGCCATGTGTATACGACGATTTATTCAGTTTTCCAAGCTGCCTGGAAGCCTTTGCATCAACGTTTTCAAATATATTTTCAGCTGTGTGTAGCTCCTGCATTTCTCTGTGGGACGATAACGCCACACTCCAACATAATTATGTAACGTTTGAGCTGCTTTACCCACACCATCTCCTCAGCCATATGTCAGATTATGTTCCACATTGTTCTCAGCGGTCCTCGAAAAGTCGATCCAAGGTGTTGGCATGGGAATAGGGTCAGGGGTGCCCAACCAAATCCGTGTCTCATGTGTAGGTACGAGTCGTGGTCGGACTCCCACACAAAGCCCATATGCTCTGCAGTGTCTGCGCTGACACGGCCAACACCACCACGCCCCCTCACATGGACTCCTTGTTAACCCCCTCTGCAGACAACAAAAGATCTGACCCAGAACGCAGTCACCCAATCATGTCAGACATCACCCTCTGGGTCAAAGGTCATCGCGGGTCGCCACCCGGTGCTCCTGCAGGGGGTCAGAGATTAATGTGCTTGACCACTGCTCTCTTTCTCATGACATCACCGCGCTTCATTGTCTCACGTTATAGAGGTGACAAGAGATAATGATGATATCGGCTCGAATATCATTAATCAACTGATGATCTGTTTTCTTCCAATGCGATGTATTCAAACTGCTTTCAATCAGACTGTCCAAATACTAGTTGTCAAGTCGAGAAATAGTAGCAATTCTCTACTCGACTTTAGAAGTATCAAATATACAACTTGAATCCTATTGTCTTGTAAGTTTCAACATCATCTACTTAATCAATTTGACAAAAGGCAATGAGAAGAGGCCATGCAACTGCAATTTCTACAAGCTAAAGATGGCAACTTATTAGATCGACCTTGCTTCGTTGAACGGAGGTTTACATGTTCCTAAACTGTTTTACTATTTAGGTTGAGGTAATAGACGTAAACTGGATTACGCTCAAAGTGTGAATGGCACCAACGACAGGGTTTAAAGGGACACCTGTGTAATCTCTGAGAGGGTGAGGGTTAAATACTCTCCTCTTCAACAGAGTTTACACAAACACTGATCTTTATCAGTCTAGGACAAACACTAACATGAGACATGTAAAAGAGGACAACAAAGACTTTTGAACATACGGGGGCCTGTGGCGCCGTGGATAGAGCCTTGGTGTTGGGATCAGGGGGTCACAGGTTCAAACCCCACTGCAGTCAGCATGTCGTTGTGTCCCTGGGCAAGACACTTCAGCCCAAATTGCTTCTGTGGGGATTAACCACAGTATTGAGAATGTAAACTCACAATTTAAAATGAAAGCGTTTAGTTTATTTAATAAAAGAGCACATGTTCAATATGAAAAATGACAGTCGATATAGATGAGTTGCAATTTGGTGCTATATGTATATATATATATACTGTATATAAAAAAAAAAAATTATAATCTTTTTTTTTTTTTTTTAAACACCTTGAATTTCAGGGGGACGCGGGGCTCCGTTGGCTGGGTAAAAGTGTCTAACATGTAATGTAATACTGATTATTCCTTATATTAAGATGCTGTTATCTCATGATGATGATTTAAATATCTCCCTGTATCACACTTTTGCGGTACAACATGTTTTTGCATCATTATGATCCTCATTCTTGATCAACTAATTCATTCATAATCTGTAAACACAGATGGAGTTTGGTGCTGTGTATGACTTCAAGGTCCACTGAGTAATGTTGTTTGTATGATTTTGGACTTGCACATGGAACAACTGCAAAGCTATATATTTTTATTTTAAAACCAAAGTTTATAGATCGAGTTGCGTAATTCTGAACGCTTTCACAGGTCAGGCGCGGTCAGTGTTTTTTACCCGACACAGAGGGTGATGTGAAGTTCAGGGAACTGTTCCAGAAAGCNATGGAGTTTGGTGCTGTGTATGACTTCAAGGTCCACTGAGTAATGTTGTTTGTATCATTTTGGACTTGCACATGGAACAACTGCAAAGCTATATTTTTTAATTTTAAAACCAAAGTTTATAGGCAGTCGTTGTCTTCTTATTTTTCACCGCCAGATCGAGTTGCGTAATTCTGAACGCTTTCACAGGTCAGGCGCGGTCATTGTTTTTTACCCGACACAGAGGGTGATGTGAAGTTCAGGGAACTGTTCCAGGAAGCTTCTCCGAGTTATCTGGAATCACCTTTAACCTGGCTTTGTCCAACTGTCAGAATTTGTTGGGTAGAGTTTTCCAGATGACTCGGTGCACCTGCTACATGGAACAGATACAGAAGTGAGTTATATCTGTGTGTAACTGAACACAGAGCCTTTGATTCATCAAACAAAGCCAGAACAATAGATGTTTTCTGTCTAAAGGAAGTCAATTATTTCTACCTCTTAGCTCTGAACTGATGCAAAGTTTCCAGTTCAGATAAATGTCCTAGCTTTTATAGAAGAAATGACCATCCATTTCAAATGCTTCTCTGCACTACCACTGCAGCATGTGTCATGTCTCCTCCAGGCAGCTGGCATGCATTTGCATCTTGGACAGAACATGTGACGCTTCATCACAAAGAGCTGCTGCTAGAGATCGCTCTGCAGTGCCACCAGTGGTCAAAGAGTCCTCCTCACACTCTTGATGGCAAGGACACTTCAATATAGTCAGAGAAACTCACTGTATAAGGCTACCTTGAACTCCTTTCATTTAAATGATATGCACTCTGTAGTGAATACACAGAGATGATCATTTTGGTAAAATTGCATACTAGGGAATTAAAAATAATTCAGTGTAGTATTAAAGATTAAATATCTGAAATGACTTCTGTTGAATCTTGACGTCTGCTGATTTTTGTAGTTGTTGCACTTGCTAAGGATGGCCATATTATTCTATATATTAAAAAAAAAAAACGACGAAGACTTTTTCGAGCAGTGGCCTCTCCATTTAACCCAGCAGCCTGCTAACCGCTCCACAGCCTTGGGAACCAGAGCTCAAAACCAGAAACGCTGGGAAAAAGGAGAATCCCACTAGGAGGAGAACAGCTGGAGCCAGCAGCCAATGGGAAGACAGGGTGGGGGAGGGGGGAGGAGCAGGGGACAGGTGGGACTCATCTCACTTGAAAGTGGCAACAAATGATTTCTGGGAAAAACGGGAAGCTTTTCTCCAAAGCTCTGCTCTACCGTCATGTTCTTTGGTACAATGTATTTAAAAAATAATATGTTCGATTTCACATACGAAGATGTATGTACTGCTACTACATTTTGTTGATGAATGATTTGGTAACTTTGGTACAAGCTCTGCTTACAAATTTGATGAAGTTGAGAAGATACAGTAATAAGTATAAAGCACTAAATAAGAGCTTGTTTTGTTTTCAAATAAATATGAGCTACACATGAACACATGGCCTCTCTACTGTTGCTATGTTTATTTTCAAACCATCATTTCAGTACTTTTTCTTGTCTTTCAAAATTTGATTTAAAAGAAAGTATTTAAATTCATTAAATTGATCAACCACTGATTATTCCGTCACATAATTGACTGTTTTGCTTAAAAAGTGTCAATATGTCTCACAATTGAGTTTAACGTTTATTTTACTATCAGATATGACAATGAAGCAAATGCTATTCGTTGAGAGGCTGAAATTCGGTAATAGAAAAAACCCATTTTTAATTGATTGTCAAAATAATTGCACTTTATATTTTATTCATCCAGTTTGTGTCACTATAAGGATGTCAAAGGCTGACATTCATGCATGTCCTTAGTAATGATATACACCAAACCCCACCATGTTGTAAAGCTTTAGGGATAGAGAAGTTCTCTGACTGAAACAACAGCAAGACGTTTGTTTTTCTGTTCTGATATATATCACTGATGTCATATCGTTCCCATTTAAAACAAGGCAATATGAAAGGTCTGTATTTGGTGAGTCAGACTTTCAAATCATGTGATGAATGTTTAATGAGCCGGGGTCGGGTGTGCAGGCAGCATCTTCAGCTTACGATACATGAGGCGACCTGACAGTCACAGCAGTGCTTTGCAAACATTATCTCAGGAATAAAAACCTCTCTCTCTCTCTCCCCTCCCTCTCTCTCTCTCTCTCTCTCTCTCTCTCTCTCTCTCTCTCTCTCTCTCTCTCCCTCTCTCTCTCTTCCCTCTCTCTCTCTCTCCTCTCTCTCTCTTCCCTCTCTCTATGTCTCTCTCTTCCCTCTCTCTCTCCCTCTCTCTCTTTTCTCTCTCTCTCTTCCCTCTCTCTCTTTTCTCTCTCTCTTCCCTCTCTCTCTCTCTTCCCTCTCTCTCTCTCTCTCTCTCCCTCTCTCTCTCCTCTCTCTCTCTTCCCTCTCTCTCTGTCTCTCTCTCTCTCTACCCTCTCTCTCTTCCCTCTCTCTCTCTCTCTCTCTCTCTCTCTCTTCCCTCTCTCTCTCTCCCCTATCTCTCTCTCTCTTCCCTCTCTCTTCCCTCTCTCTCTCTCTTCCCTCTCTCTCTTCCCTCTCTTCCCTCTCTCTCTCTTTC